TGAGTTCAATAATTTGCTATACAAAGTAAATGATATGTGTGTGTATATATATACATATACATATATATATATATATATATATATATATATATATATATATATATATATATATATATATATATATATATATATATATATATATATATATATATATATATATATATATATATATATATATATATATATATATATATATATATATATATATATATATATATATATATATATATATATATATATATATATATATATATATATATATATATATATAGAGAGAGAGAGAGAGAGATAGAGAGAGAGAGAGAACATAAAGATTTGTTTAGGTAGTTCACCAATCGTCCTCTCTATGCCTACGTCTGCCCCCAATTTTGTTTGGAATTGAGATAAGAATTATTACTATGCAAAAAATTGTTTACGAGATAAATACAACAATACATTCATATAAACCTTATGTTTGATGTTGATCCTAGTAATTTCTCTTTCCTTGATCTGAGTTTGATCAGGTCACCCAACAATACCAATTTGATCCACCGTCTCACGCTACTCCTTTGCAAGAAATCACTATTCTTCAAAGCTTTCACTCGGCCAAATCCAAATTGTGAATTGTTGTCACCTAAGATTACCAAACGATTCACAGTTTCATGCTACTCCTTTGCAAGAACCTCTCGTTCTTTAAAGATCTTCACTTGGTCGAGTCCAATATTTGTGAAACCTTGTCAAAACCCTTAAATTAACATTTTGATCTTAAGAGGAAAACCCTCACAATTTTTTTCCGATGAAACTCCCACAAATTCTCAACCCAATCTTAGGTTACACCAACCTAAATTGAACATTATCAACACAAGTCTAGATGACAACCAAACAATGAATGATGATATGTACTTTGTTTGTGTGTATGCATAGATGAGAGGTAAAGATGATGAGCAATTTTTGAATGTGTTTATATTTTCATCAAATGAAAAAGATGCATATATGAAATATTTATATAAGTGCAAGTTGGAGACAAAAATGGAGGCTTAGAAATTGAAATAAAATTTAATTTTTATAAAAATTATAGTATGTTTCGACACATGTAATTATATGTGTCGACCTATTCAAGGTCATGTGTCGACACAAGGAAATCATAAGCTTACAAGCTTTAAAAATGAAGTACATGAGTCGACCTGAAAAAGGTATGTGTCGACACATAGATGAAAAATTGTAGCACGTGTCGACCTGAAAGGTTGTATGTGTCGACACATAGTTACAAAGGCTACATGCTTCATTATTGATCTACATACATCATATATGTTGACACATAAACATGTTTTTCACGTAAAAAAACCATTTTTAATGCATTGTACATTTTCCAAACATGTTCTAACTGCATTCTAAGATACCTTGATGCAAGGGTACATATAAAAACTCATAGATACCATTCAATATACATAAATGCTAAAGTTAGCCTTCTTTTGACATCATGCAAAACATCTAATGAGCAAGTTCACTCACAGATGAAGCTTGACATTAAAGGATTTAATGATGGTGAACTCGTGAGTGGAAGAGCTAGCCATCTTGAAAGTCGTGTTACCTATGAAGTCCAGCTCAATAAGAATCTGATTGAGAGCCTACTTCTAATGCATAAAGACATTGTTGAATCTGACATGATTGTGGGTCATTCAAATATCGTTGATAATGTGCACAATAGAAGCTTAAATAATGACTTTGGTTTGAGCACTCCAATTCTTGTCACAAATATCCAGAATACAAGAGATGTTAGTCACAATGTGAATCTTTAACATATTGAAAAATCAGTGCCAAAGATGTAACGCAAAAGGACAAAAAAAAAGAAGTGTTTCGTTGATTCTTGATGAGAATTAAAAAGGATTCATATGAATAATAGGAAATAATAAGGAAAATGAGGAAGAAAGTAAATAAGTATGGGCCAACATACATCACAAGAATAATTAAACTTGGGTGGACTCGCTTTAGGGAAGAGTCCTCAGCAGAGTCTCCAACGGTCGCGATGCAAAAAATACTTGACCGTAAGGAACGCTCGAAATACAACAGAGTCTCCACTGAAGTTTATTTATACCAAAAGAATAGGGAAAATATCGATAAAACCTTCAAAGAACAAAATATGGTCGTTGCAGCCAAAATTAAAGTTTGGGAGTTGGTTATGCTAGAGGAAGGTATTAGCACCCCTCACATCCATTATACTCAATGGGAACCATTTAGTTAGTTTTATGAAAGAATGTTAGCTTATGTTACTTGCGATTCTTCTACTTATTGCCTGATATTTACAAAAGAAAGAAAGGGAGATTTTTTGGTTTTTTATTAATGTGTCTGATAAGATGTTGAATCTCGCTCCTATGCATTCTCAAGTGCGATGAGAAACTCAAGGGTACGTAGTTTTGGGTAGCAAGTGTTTATTAGTTGGTTGATTTTAGCGAAAGACATTTGGTCGCGTTCGAATGGAAAATATTACTTACTACCCAAAACATGGAGAGGTAAACATTTTCATCGCATCAAGAATGGACAACATAATCTGGATTCTCGCAAATTTATGTTCTCGTCGCATTCGAGCGTAAAACTTTACTTACTACTCGCGAGGTAGGAACGAAGTATTGTTTGCATCGTCTCAGAATGGACGAAGCATCTTTCATTTAGAAAAAGGTTTTGACATCGCGCTAAGGAAGAAAAAGACATTTGATGAGTTAAGATTGATTTTAGGCGGAAGCCAAACATTCAATGGTAAGCTATTACGATTTGCACCTAAATATTTGGAGATTAGGATGGGTATTACGTCCAACTAACTCTTTTCATCCAACTTATTTGTGAAACTTGTGAAACGAATTAAGCCATAATTTCTTAACGAAAACCAAGCATTTAAATGGTAAGCTATTACAACTACCACCCAAATACTCAGAGATTAGGATGGATATTACATCCAACTAACCTTTTTCATCCAATGAAGAACGGCCTAAACTCGATTAACTATTGTGTTTTAAAAGGAAAGAAAATACTGAAATGGTAAGCTATTACGGCTAGCATCCAAATATTCAGAATTAGTATGGATATTATGTCCTACTAGTCCTTCTCCATCAACTTTTATTAAGAAAAAGATAAGAAACTTGATATTGACCAAATGTATGATTCGTATTGAAAAATGACTTAGGCGCGAAACAATTTTGAAAATAGCTTAAAGTTGATCAAGCATTTAGTTTGCGTTGATCAAGCATTTAGTTTGTCAAATGAGGATTAATGACATGGTGTAAAACTTGATTGATGTTGATCAAACGTTAATTGTGAAAATAATAATTTTAATTATTGAAGACTCAATTATTGTGAAAGCAAATTATTGGAAAAGACATGATAATTTTATTCTCATTAACTTATTTGAGAAAATTTAGAAAAAACATTGATTTAAAAAGTTAATTTTAATTATTAATAAAATTAAATAACATAGAAAAAGATAATCAAATCAAATAAAACAATAAAAAATATAAAAAGTGGGCTAGACAAACAAACAAAATCCCAAAGGTGTTGGGGGCGCAACAAAAAGATAGTGCAAAGCCCAAAGGACGTCCCCAAGGCCCAAAGCTATCACTCAAAAATAATGCACCTAGGCGCCCTAAAAAATGAAAACGGGTGAGCAAATAGGCTGGGTCTAAGTCGACGCAACCCTAGCTCAAACACTAATTATATAATCTTGAGACTCGCCCCTCTTGCCATTTCTCCACTATTTTTCTCTTTCATTCTCCCATCTCTCTCTCTCTCACTTTGGTTGAAGCATAAGATAGGGATAAAGAATGCGCAAGACTCATGGTGAAGGGGCAATCTTAGGCTTACCTTTGGACTTGAGGTTTTGTGGTTTTGAAACGTAAAACTTGTAATTTGATATATTTGTTTCTTTTTGCTTTTGAGTTTGGTCTTGTAACATTACTTATAACTTAAGAAATGCAACAATTGGTAAATTTGGAATCAAAAAGTTGATGCATTTTGGTCCTTTGATACACAGTTTTGAATTTGTACTTTGTACATTTTTTTGATGCCATTTGTAATTCAAAGAAAGATGTTGCAATTTTATTATTATTGATGAATGAAAACAAAATGCATTAAATCCCAAATAATGTCCACTTTATTTAAATAATGATGATGCATGATGAAATATGTGAAGAACCAAAGTCAAACTAACTAATGCTCAAATAATGACGATCAATCACTAAAAACTTGTAATTCAAATGACTTGAGTTTGAGTCCAAAATTCTTAGTTATTAACTCAATTATTATACGTTGGTTCTCTTAATGACAATACGTGGACAAAACAAAACAAAATTAACACACACCCATAAGGCCATAACCCTTTCACTCAAAGAACAAAAGAAAATTAATTTTCTCCTAGTGCTATAATTATATTTATAAATTTGTACTAGTATACTTAATTACCCATTACCGGTTTAAAAAATAGTTAAAAATAATATATGATTAATAGTTCTATGGAAAAATAAAATAAAAAATTATTAAAAGTAAATAAATTTATTAATCGACTTCAATGGCTTAACTATTTTAGTGCCCAGACATTTTTTCTCCTTTATCAAACAAAACATGTTCAAATACACAAATAATATAGGTTGAAAAACTCGGAACTTTTAACATTCCATAACAGAAACCCTAATTATAATGCAAATGATGAGTGATTCTCAAAGTATTGGTAAATATGGCTGAGGTTGGGAAGGCAATAATGCTAATGCAGTATCAACACCAGTATCATATTACTTGAAAAATGATTTTGGACGAAAATTTTAAATAAGATAAATGTATTCAACTTCAAAATAAGATTAAAAAAAAAAAAAATGTATGATGGAAATTAAAACCGGAAATAAGCTACACTGTGATGACAGAAATATAACTTCTATCACGACATTAAGAAACTAGAATATTAGTCTTTGATCACTGAAATAAAATCACACCACATTACAGTTTAGAACAAAACTTTAATAAACTCGGCAACTGCAAATTTAATCAAAAAGGCTGAATCCCATATCCTGCACCACAAGAAAAGTGTTGAAGGATTAGCAATCAGAAAAAATGCAATGCAGCAAGGTTTGGTTAGTATGCAACATGAACGCATACTAACGTGTTGCAACATGAACGCAAAATAAAAACTTACATCATCGGATTCTTCTTTCTCCTCAACCTTCTCTTCTTTCTTTGCCTCAGCAGCTGCAGGAGCAGCACCACCGCTGGCAGGTGCGGCAGAAGCAGCAACGGCGCCACCACCAGCAGGTACTGATGCCAACTTTTCCTTACCAGAAGCAATCACCTCAGCTAAATCTTTGCCCTTAATTTCAGACAAAAACAATTCAATGTTGCCATCTTCTGCTTCTGCTCCAACTGAACATAAAAAAACTCACAATTTCTGTCAGCTATGCTTCAAATCAAGGATTTCAAACCCAATCAAAGTCATTAAAATCTTCAAATCAAAAAACCCTAAAAAACCCAATTTACCGAATTCCAAAAGTCATTGAAATATCAATTGAGACAAACATGATTATTATTATGAACATATATGTATACCTAACACTAACTAGCGACAGACATTCAACAAAAAATTCTTTAAAAATGTAAAAACAATTGACGGCGGGACGTACCGGAGGAAAGGATGTCCTTGATGGTTTTGGCGGAGGGGGTGTTGTTACCTCCGAGAACGGCGAGCAAGTATGCAGCTATCACCTTCATGATTATGCCGACGGCGTCTTCAAATCAAATGAAAAAAGGATTCAAGCAAAAGAGAAGGAGAGATAGAGATTTCAAGGGTTTTGTGTTAACCGATTAGGGCTTTGATGTACTTGTTTGTTCTATTTTTAATGGGCCATATTTTGGGCCTAGAAATATTGACTCGTATTACTACATAGAGTAACTTTTAAACCTCCCACTTTTGGAACACACTTCACCTCATTAATCCAACACATTCAATTTGTTCAAGATCAAAATTACCTAACAAAGTTTAATTAAGAGTGTGTTTGATTTTCAAAATAAGAAATACCGTATAAAACAATATTAGACATTACAAGATAGTATAAGATAACTTTTTGTATTGTACTGTGTTTGTCTGATGGTTGATGCACCAAACAATTTTTTTTCTCTATTTTGTTTAATATGGCTTTGCATCGAATAAAATGATATAAATATTAGTATGATATTCTTTATTAATACATAAAATATTATGTAAGGATTGTGGTTTTTTTAGCAACCCAAAAAAGAAATAATATGATAACAAATGGATGGATACTATATAGTTTTAATTTAAGAGTAAGATATTACAATCAAATTCAGAATTTAAAGATGGGATGAATCCATTTAAGAAATAGAAATACTAGTAAGATAGAAGAAATCCAAACATATGAATTAAGTTATTGCTCTCAAAGAGAGAGGAGTGTTCATCGTTTTTTCCCTTTCATTGTCATTCATTTACATTGCCTCTTATAGCATGTTAAAGAATATTTATGTTACCACATCCCCTCAACTCATTTATTTATGGATCATGTGCCATGTGTCCCTTAAACCCACAACTTTTATATAACCATCACGAGAAAGAGCATAGATGTAGCTCAAACAATGAACATGATATGACTCAGGTGCAAGTTTATGTAGTTGTAGTATAATATCTTCCAACCCCATCAAAGCAAGAGTACAAACATTGCTTATTAGGTTAACTATGGATTGTGCAACAGAGTCACCAACATGAATTATGTTCTTGTAGGTTACATTTTTATATCTAAGGCAAGAAAATCTCCACAGGTTCAGATGAATTGTATTGGTTAAAAAACTTTCCAACATTGTCATAATATCAACTAAAATCTCTAATGGGATAAGCATCAAACAATTACCACCCTCTAATTTGATGAGTGTAACACAAGTAACCAAGTAAGTGTAAGACACCAAATATTCTAACTTGTTTTTAGCATCAACAATTAAAGTCATGTGTGTGGAAGCGTCATGCACTACTTTCTCGCTTAACCCCATTGTTGGGTTGTAAACAAGCAAACCCATGTCAGAATAGAAGGTAGCATACAATAAGAGAAAACATTTGTTGATACTGCATAATTGATTTGCAACAACCAACAGTGGGTCTTACAATTCTCTCCATGGCCTACTTAGTAATCCACATTTCTATCAAAGTCACATGAAACAGTCAAGGGCACTCATATATCCATATGGTAAAGTAAGATAAACAATGAGGTCAACAAAAAAAGATACTGGAATTGCCATTATCAACAAGCTTAGTCAAGCCGGGGGAAAAAACATATAGGTTAAATGCAGAGCCGATAGTAAAATGATGGAAACTCAGTAGTTCCGATCATTCAACTTGAACAATTCTTTCAGCAACCAAACATGACAATAAAATTTAACCCTTAAGTTTGGTTTAGTCTTGAGCTAAGGATAATACTAATAGAACTCAATAGGAAACAATAGAAAAGACTCACAAAATTATAATAGCTCACATTACGACTTGGAATCATACCTTGAGATTTACAAGCATAGTTAACATATAAAATCATATGCAAAGAAGGATGATCCAACAACATGTTGCGACTGGTTTTTAAACCAAGAGTCGCCACTATCAGTTTTTATCCTAGGGAAGGGAATCTAATAGGAAACCCTAATTCGCAGACAGAGATTCTAGGTTTCGGACTTCATTAGACGAAAGGAAGGTGTTAGGCACCTTTCATCTACCTTGTTCACAAGGATACTAGGTTTTAGGTTTAGGTTCAGGTAAAATAGGGTTTTAAATTTTCATTAGGGGGAAGGGTTTAAATATTTTTATAGGGGAAGGGTTTAAATTTAGGGGAACTCGCTACGATTTTTTATCGTATACCTATGTATCCTCTTATGAGGAATCAGAGTCTCAATTCATAGTTCGTATGAGTTTGTGTTTTTTAGGGGTTGCAAACGTATTTTGAATCACCTCGCGTTTTGGCCGAGAGTAGTGATTGCGGATATTTTGACTAAATGCGCAGTAAGTCAAAATCTGCTTGAAACCCTTTGCAAAAAAAGTTGTTTAAATTGTTTGATTGCGAAAAAAAGTTTGATATTTGTTGAGTGTTTTTTATAGATATTAATTGCAAAAAAATCTTATTAATGCATGATATAAGAAATATTTAATGCAAATAATATAAGAAAATAATATGCAATTTTTGATGTAAAAATAATTTAAGGGATATAATAAATAATATTAATATTCACAATAAAAATTAATAATTATAATGATAGCATAATAATTACAAAATAGAAAAATAAAGGACAAAATAATTTATGAACAGAGGGGGTTGCATTGTTGGTCACTAAGTGAAAATAGAGAGTGCTAAAAGCTAATAATCCTGGGTAAAGGGGTAAAAGTTCTTAAGAGGACAGAAGTTCTGCATGGGACGTAGGGAAGTTGACTGGGTTTTGGCCCAGTTGCAGAACTTCTGGAAAGGGGCGCTGCTAACTGGTTAGTAAAAATCAAAACATAAAGGTGTCAAATTCTGGGCTAAGCCCACTACACATAATTTCTGGAAAAGGGCAGACAAAAAGTATATAAGTCTAATGCTGATTCTGGACAAGGGAAGAATCTGAAACCTGGGTTAAGCCCAGTTAGAACTTCTGAAAGGGGAACTACATCTGAACGTAAGAAATTAGCATGAACCTTTGCAATCAGAATATAAAACTATCTATAGATCTGTTTTCCATAGTTTCAGCCCTGCCTATGTTCTCCTGATCCTATTCATCTTAAACCCAGCATGAAAACAGTAAAGAAGCAAACTAAAATTTGTTACCCCTTTGGCGCTTTTGCTTCTGATTCTGGTGCGTGTTTTGTTGTCCTTTCCTTCTTCTTTTGTAGATTCTGGTGACAACAGCGACGGAAGGTGGAGCGACGACGATTGAAACTAGGGTTCCAGATATTGGAACATCAGTTACTCTTCTGTGTGTTCTTTTGCTGGGTTTTCCAGAAACTCCTGTGTTCTTCCTGTTCTTGATCCTACTACGTTTTTCTTGTTTTGCAAGCTTTTCTACAAATTCGTCTCTCTCTCTCCGTATTCTTTCCTCCTTTTTTCCCCTCCTCTTCTTTCGTTTGCTAATTTGTTCCTCTATTTATAATGTTCAATTTTTGGGCTTGGACTATGGCTAGAGCAAAGATTGAGGATAGAATTAAAAATATTTGATTGGAATTGATTCTCTGTGGAAGATTTGATTAAAATTGATATAGTGCACGTCCAACAGATTTGGGCTTGGGTTACTTAGCCTCAGAAACTCAGAGCTTGGGTTGTAGAAGATAATCTGATTCTGCCCTTGCTTACAATTTGACTCTGCTAGAAGATCTGATATTCCAATTATGTACCAGCATTAGCTTGTGTGTGATTCTGGCTCTGATCTTCACAGTTTTTTTGTTTCTGTAAAGACGAGCTTCTGGGATTACTTTCAGAAGTTCTGATGGGTCAGCGCTTGATCCATACAGCCTAGCACTTCTTCATTTGCAGTAAGAACTTCTCTTTTAATTCAATTGGGCCTAACATTATATATTCCCCTTTCTTTTGCATACTCTCGAATTTAATTTTCACCCCTCATTTTTAAATAACAACTAAATCTTCTTGATTTAAAATACACCCCCCCTGATCTTGAATAAAGATAGTTCATCGGATATTGTTGTACCATCTTTAATTAAATAATTCTAAAAAAGGTCGTTGAGGTAGGACAAATCTGGGGTATGACACAATGGAAATTAAACCGAAATCAAATGCAAGTCCACTAAATGGGGATCAATTACTTCAATCATGAAATTATGGAACAAAATGGAACTTACATAATACTCAAAGGTTTCCATATCAACTTGTCTAAAACATGCATAGATTTGCAGCATGCTCATCAAACTTGTAAAAGAGTCATAAGAGAAATCAATTATGTGGGACATTTTAACAAACCGATAGTGGACTTCACAAGAGGATACAATGTTGGTATACTCATATAATGAACATGCTAACATATAAACACTGGAGATTCAATGATCAATTATAGGGAGTGTTATGAGATGGAGTTCTAAATAAAATATTTTGTTCAATTGGAAATAGTGAGGAAGATTTTTACGTTGGATGAGGGTGAGGAATTAAGTGGCCTTGGGTAAACTAAGAAATGTAGCCATGATAGGTAAACTAAGAAATGTAGCCATGATAGAGTGAGCAGAGGTGGAGAATGAAGAATGGAAAAACACAAGAAGGGGGGTTGAATTGGGACTAAAAGTTAAAGAAGAGAACACGTCGATTATCCTGGTTCGTTTGAACTCAAACTACTCCAGTCCACCCACCAAGGTGATTTCGCCTCTCTCAAGCGAGGTCTTAATCCACTGATCAAACTTGATTACACAATCACAATGACAACTGTCAATGTCTTCTTGAGTCTAAAACCACAACCCGGTTTTCTCAAGGAATTACAAAATAATATAATTGAGTGTGTACAAAGATGTTTTCTAAATAAAACAATATCACAACTATGATGTGTTACACAATTTAAGATTGCTAGGTAGAATTGGGTAAATATGCTTTTATTTTTCGTGCGCATTAGTTAACCACATGAATTATTCTTTTCGTCTTCTTTATATAGGCCATGCAAGAGTGACATAAAAAGATGCTTTTGGAATGTTCATAACATGAATTAATGATCTTTCCAAACCAGGAGATTATTGTCTCTTTATAGCCTTTACT